AAAGAAAAAAAAAAAAACCCAAATACAAAAATTGAAATGCTGATCTTGGGGCTGAGATACAGCTCAGGGGTGGAGTACTGCCTAGCACATTCAAGGCCCTTGGTCCAATGTGGTAGAGAGTAATGGGATCAGAAACTCTTAGGTCATTTTCTAAATATGGGGCTGGTTTCTCTAATCCTGACTTTTTATGGAAGGCAACAGAGGAGAGGATCTGGAGTACTGGTTTTGCAATCTGAGTCACCACCTCATTAGTCCTTTAATCTCGCTGCTTATCTTTCTAGGTTTTATCTGCAGAGTGAAAGAAGTAATAGCACTTACAGACTGGGCTGTCACTTATACAGTGCTTACCACAGTAAACATAGTAAACACTCAGTAAACTTCAGCTAATTATTACTGAGGATAAATACAGCTTTAAAAAGATACCTTGATGGGCAGGAGTGTGTCAAAATATGCAGAACAAAGGGTCCAAGCAGTTGCATTTGATGGGGCTGGGGATGTAGCTCAATGGCACAGTGCCTGCCTGGCAAGTGGAAGGCCCTGAGTTCAATTCTCAGTACAAAAAAAACAACAAAAAAAGAAGAGGCCAGGCATGGTGGTGCACGCCTTTAATCCCAGCACTCGGGAGGCTGAGGCAGGAGGATCACTGTGAGTTCGAGACCAGCCTGGGCTACACAGTGAATTCAGGTCAGTCTCAACTACATAGTGAGACCCTGTCTCAAAAAACTGAAAGAAGAAGAAGGGAGGGGGAGGAAGAAGTAGTAGTAATAGTTGGATATGAGTGTGGAGGCCAAGAGGAAAGAAAAGAGTGCAGACTGAAAGGATGAATTAGAGTACGATAACCAGCAGGAACCTGAGCCAAGGAGAAAAAGGAAGCTTCTGTAGATTTGGGGATATGGAGGAATTGTAGGGTATCTAGGGCCATCGGCCTTGGGGTTGGAACAGGCTACATGACCATCCTCCCTGAGCCTTCTATATTTGTTTGCTCAGGGAGACCCAAGAAAAGGGCTGAAATGAGAAGTGTGGATAGAAATAGCAAGGGCTTAAGAAGTTGTATTGGGCTCTTGGGGGAAGCCCAAGCGAGAGACTGACAGGTACAGGACAGGCCATGACATTGGAGAGGAACTGTTGAGGGAATGCTCCAAGCCAAACCTTCTTGAGCCATTAATTACAAAGCAAAAGCAAACCAAATCTTTATAGTTTTTTTTTTTTCAAATCTTTATACTCTTAAAACCCTGACTGGCCTGGTGTGGTGGTGCACATCTATAATATCAGCACTGGGAGGCTGAGGCAGGAGAATCACCGCAGGTTCAAGACCAGCTTGGGCCAGATTTAGCTCAGCGGTTCAGTGGCCTGCCTTGCAAGCTCAAGGACCCAAGTTGAATCCCCGGTACAGGGGGGAAAAAAAAAAGACCAGCTTGGACTGCATATTGCATTTGAGGCAGACCTGAACTGCATAGAGACCCTATCTCAACAAACAACAACAAAAATAACTAATGGTCAATTTAGAGCACCTAACTGAACTGAATCAGTGTGATTTGGGCATGGAAAACTCACCTGAGGGTTACTGCCAAAGGCATAAAAGGAGAACTGAAGGGGAAGATCATAGGCTGTTGATTTTCTAGGAGAAGCTTGCCACGGTGGTTTTCCTGATGCAACTTGGCTGTTCTCTTGTCATCAGAGAAGCTCAGGTCCTCACTATCACTGGAAATGGCTGCTGTTCTTGTCAGGGGAGCTCTGATCTTCACCGTGAGCATCACTTCCTGGCTCCAGTGCAGATCCCTTAGCCTGGTGGCACAGATTCTTCAACCTACTGGTGCAGGTTTTCTGGCTTCTGCCACTGGCTTTGGGCCTCCTGGGTGCAGATCCTTGATACTGACAAGCATGAGGCATTGCCGTGGGCTCTGGGCCACTGGCTGGACTCATGGAGGACACTGCCTTGGACACAGGCCTTCAGCTGGACTTGTGTGGGACATTGCTGTGGGATCCAAGTCCTTGGCTGAATTCTTTGGGTCTCTAGTGTTGGGCTAATCTCTTGCACTCCTCTGCATTTGACTTTTGGGGTGACTATTGTAAAATAATCCTATATGGGCTGGGGATTTAGCTCAATGGTTCTGCTGCCTGCCTTGCAAGTGTAAGAACCCAAGTTCAATCCCCGGTACCAAAAAATAAATCCTATAAATTATGTGTCCTGTATTAAATCTATTTCCCTTGCAATCCCTGACTACAAAAACTGTCAAACGTGTTGGCATAGTCTTGGAATTCCAGGACTATGGAGGCTGAGGTGGGAGAATCAGAAGTTTAAGGCCAGCCTCAGCCACTTAGCAATATCCTACACATTTTATAAAGTACAGAGGTATACCCTGAGTTAAATCCCCAGTGCCACGGGGAGGAAAAAAAAAGTGAATACTATTGGAAATTACTGACTAGGTTTAGTGTTGGACAGGACTTTAAAACTCCCTAGCTTTAACCCAGGAGAATGTGAACCTTAATGAAGTAAACTGACTCACCAGCACAGCTGGATCTGTATTTTCAGTCACCTGATTTCCAGTACAATGCTCTTTCCATGGTTAGAAGTTAGTAAAATTGTGTTTTTAAACTGGTCTTTGAGAAAATCGAATCCATTTGGCTCTGGGTTGGATTTTTTTTTTAATCACTAGGACTGCTTCTTAGATACAGATATATACATCTTGGGTTCTGTCTCCAGACATTTTGATTAAATATGGGCAAAACATGGAACCTATACTGTTCAAAATTACCCAGTTAGCCAGGTGTGTAATCCTAGCACTCAGGAGGCTGGGACAGGAGGATTGCAGTGAGTTCAAGGCCAGCCTGGGCTGCGTAATGAGTTTTTTAAAAATTCCAGCTCCAAACAGGTGTCTCTGTCTGTCTGTCTGTCTCTCCCTTACTCTCTCTGCCACACATTTTTTTTACACTATTTCTTTGAGTGTAGACTTTTAAGATTTTGCCTAGTAAACCCTACCTCAAAAAATTTTTTTCCCTTAGGGATCTTAGAACTTAAGTATTGTATTTGTAAAATCTAAGGGATAAGTTTGATTATCACTGAAATCTTTTCTGAAGTTTTGGTTCTATTGCTCTGCATTTTAAGCCATTTATTCTCAATACTTAAGTAATATTTTGGGGGGAGGTTGAACTCAGGACCTTGAGCTTGTGAGGCAGGTGGTGGAACCACAGAGCTAAATCCCCAGCCCCATTGAATAATATTTTAAAAATAATTACTACTAGACTTGGTTACTTGGAGAAGCAACTAGACTATTATACTGTGCTCTCTCTCTCTCTCTCTCTCTCTCTCTCTATATATATATATATA